CGACAGTATGCCGGGCGGCGTGTCCTCCGCGGCGAGAAAAGCCGCTCCGCGTCTCCCTGGTCTGCTGGGGGGAAGCGCCCCCTGCGCCGCCGGAGGCGGCAACAGTGGGGGAGGCACCCTGCACCAGCTGCGCCGCGGCGGCATTTCCATTCAGGTGGCACTGAGGGAGTCCGGCGCGCCCCGTGCATTGTGGTAAGAGGAAGACCTGGGAGGAGAGGGGGGCAGGCGGGGAGATTTAAAGGGGAATCTGCCTCTGCTGTTAAACACCCGGCCCTGCGCCAGGCTGCGGCCTCCGGGCACCCCGCACTAGCTGCCACTCCCCCTCCCCCCGTTCGTAACTAGGGATCTGACGTAAGTCGGATTGATGTAACCCGGGGACTTCCTGTATAAAGAAAGAAAAAAAATGTATACAAACTCCAATTTAAGCCCACATTTTCAGTTTATTTGCACACTTATAACAATCAGGAGATAATTCAGGAAGATAATCCCAATCACAAGACTTGAGGTATCTGTTCTGGAGCTTTAATACAGATATTAGAAATACAAGTTTGATACTTTGAACATTATCTTCAGTAGAAATAAATACAATCTGCTTACTTTCTCTAACACTCTGTGTTACTTTAAAAATGACAAATCCTGTGGCACCTTAGAGACTAACAAAAATATATAGGATCATGAGTTTTTGTGGATCAAGCCCACTTCAGATGAGTTTGGAATGGAAATAACAGAAACCAAGGCATATGTAACAGCAAAAGAAATTATAGGGCCTGTGTTAAGGAATATTAAGTGGGATGGATGTGTTCCATATATAGTCTTGATGTGAAAATATGGATGTTAAAGGCAGGGATATTGGCTTTGTAACATGCCAACTAGTTAATGTCAAGTTAATTCAAGCCCAGGGTAACAGTGTCAAACTTGTAGGTGAATTCAGGTTTTGCGGTGTCTCCCTCTAGTTGGATAGAGAAATTCTTGAGTGACCAGGCAGGTTACAATGCTCCCTACAGGTTTATGTGTATTACCATTTCTGATGTCTGATTTGTGTTTATTCTTTAACTGCTTGCTTTTTTTATGTCTGTTCTTGCCATCTCATCATGAAGTTGAGGAAAGGATGGCTACCTACATTTTGTCAAACTTCCAGTCGGCCAGAGTTATGATGACAGGGGATCTAAGAGTCCAAACTCATATTGTTGTAGTCTAAGCTGACTTTAAAGCCAATGTTCCATCATAGAAATCAGTACATATTAGCAGTCACTGGGCTACTTCATTGTACATTTTCATACTAAACCAGTACTACTTTATTAGAACATGATGTTTATATACATAAAAACATTTTACCACCCCCATGTTTAATGGGCCCTGCACCAGAATTTCTAGAACAGTTGTCAGATTCAGCTCCTCAGTAAATAACCAAACAAAAATTTCAGGTTTGAGCACACATTGTAATGTGACAATGTGTGGGTGCAACTTCACTGAATTTGAGTCATCAAGTTTGAGATGTTTAAGTTGCATGGGAAGATACAGAAGTAGATCGAGCAAGGCTTTAGGGACTTGCTGATCTTCATAGAAGTAGTAAGTAAAATAATGGGAGTGGATGACATTTCTAAAGAAAAAGCAACAGAGAAGAGAAAGATGAGATGCTATAAGAGATTTCAGCACATAGAAAGGTGAACCCAGAAAGCAATATTGTGGAAACCAAGATGACAAAGCTGAGGAGCAGCAAGCGATTGTGTGAACAGAGACTGGTCATTCAAATTGAAAATAAAATGCTTTGTTCCTTCAGTATTGATGTTGACTTAGGGTGGTAATGGTGGGAAGTTGGATTGGATTGAAGAGACGCAAGGAATTAGTTGGAGGAGAAATTAATGTGATTAGGCATTACCAACTAGTATTTCAGGAATCGAAGCTAGAGGTTAGTTTGAGGGAAAAGCTTTTTCAGGAAGAAGGAGTGATGCAAGAATATGTTCGAAGGGAGAGGAATTAAAAAAGTAACAATGTAGTGAAGAGCATGGATAGAAGTTAAAGGATTTTTGTGCTTGGGAAAACTTTTGAGCTCCTGGACAGTGAAGAGTGCAGATGAAAGGTAAAAGGTGGAACTGAAGGTAGAGAAGAGATTCTGGATGTTGTCAAGATAAGTCTGCTCAGGAGTAGGGATGTTAGATATTGTTTGTTTTTTAATAATTGTGTAGCTACAATTTTTTTTTAGTATTTAGTTACTAAAATGCTCCCCCCTTGGGGCAGGGCGACAGCCAGTGCATTCTCAGTTCCCTGCCCCACTCTCAGGGAGCCCCTGACATCTCCTCTTGCTGCCTCCGTTGGCTCCCCATGCAGACTGGCTCACGACTGCCATCCTGATACAGAGGCAGTAGTGCAGGGTGGCAGTAGCCCCTGTCTACCGGGGGCCTGAACTCCCTGTGGACAAAGGTTGCTTAGGCATTCCATGGAGCAGCCTCTGTCTGCTAGGGCCCTAAGCTCCTTGTTGACAGAGGCTGCTCCGGCATCCGTCCTATCGTGCCCTCCCCCCACCAGCTGGGAGAGACTCTGTGCTCTGTCCTCAGCAGGGAGTTGCTGCTATAGCTGAGGGAGACATGCACCTCCCCCAACTAGGCAGCTCCATGCATGGCAGCCCTGAGCCTCTCAGTGGGTCTCATTGAGCAGCTGCAGGGCTTGTGCTGCCATGCAGCTTAGAGGGAACCTTGGTTCCTACCTCACCTAGCCATATGTTGTGTTCAATTAATCTGTAATAGAACACTTAGTAAAATCACATGTTAACTACTTTTATTTTACCATATCTAGTTGCGGCAAGTTCTAGAACATTTGTCCCAGCAAAGTGAAAGTCAGTATCTTAAGATCCTAACAAGCCTTGCTGAAGTTGCTACAACAAATGGTCACAAACTACTTAGGTAAGTATCAAAATAATATATAAGTGGGTCAGTAGTGAAAAATATGTTTAAAGATACAGGTTGCAGCTCCCTGGTCCGGCACTGTTAGGTCCTGACTCTCCCAAACAAGAGAGTTTACTGTATTGGGAAGGTCAATTCTGGTCCCTTTGCTGCTGGCCTGCAGGCTCTTCCCGCATGGCCATCAGGTTCTGCTGTTGATCCTGTGGCCCACTGGCTACTGGGGCGCTTTAGTCCAGTGGCTCTTAGTTGTATTTATTATCAAGAACAGAATATTTATCGTTCACTTAATTTGTAGTCCAACTGGCATGAAGACAAATGTAAATTAATCATACTTGGTAGAAACATTTGAAAAAAGATTAAGCTAGTGGGTCTTTCATTTTGCATTTTAAAAATCTTTTAAAAAGGTTCTTTAAAAGAAACAGCGCAGTTTTTTTCCAGTGGTGATCATGTGGGCCTTATGATTTGTGGGGTTCTGTGGTGCTGGATCTAGGCTCTAGTGGAGTTTTCTGCCACTTCTTTTCACTTGGCTTATAGTCATTTTTTGCGCTTTTATGTAAGTATGTTTTTAGGATGGGTTCATTATGGGCTAATTAATTTTATTTGGTGTGTCAAGATCATCAACATTTAACTGTAGAGCAGACTCTGTAAATGATTACACTGTCAGCCAAGTTGTGAAAGCCATATACTAACTCCTGGCCCTCTTCTGCTACTTATTTCCTAGCCATCTCATTTGTACCTTTTAAAATCTAATCCTTGCCATTTTTACGCAGCTTTGCTAAAACTTGTTGTTTCATGTTCCTTCAGTTAATTGTCACTTTTGCCTTACAAAAGCACATAGGAGCAAGTGGTATGTGAGGATACTCTATCTCCCTACTCATCTCAGTTGCCTCATTTTGCTTCTACTATCTAACACTAGCATTTTTCTTAAGTTGAATTCTCTTCTCACATCTGTCCCCTCTGCAAATCAGGCTTCTGCTGTTTCACAGCACGGTGTTAAGCATTCCTCTGAAGCATTTGAATCAAGCTGGTATTTCAGACTGGCTCCTGACCTACTTGGGCCTCATGTTTGATCCTATATGGCTATTTATGCCACTGCCTCAACTTCAGGCCTATTATAATCTTCACCCATCCCCTCATTCCTTCTTACTACTTTAACACACCTATAAGTGTCTTATGTTCCTCCCCTTGAGATTCATGTGTGAAAGTAGTTGTCCATCATCTTGAATACAAGTATGCTCAGTTCTCTAATGTCAGATTGTTACACTGGTTCCCTGTACATTACAGAACTCCATTCAAAGAAGATTTTGTCTTTGTATGCCTACTAAAATGTCCTGGTAGGCTTTTGCCTCTAAATGTGTCTGCTGATATGCAGAAGAAGTTGGTTGGTTCTTTAAGCAGCACCTGCAATTGGTAGTCTCTTCTCTGACCCCTTTTTCCACCTCTGTCCAATCTTTCTTGTGTTCTACGTCTTTCATTGCTGTATGCAGACTGTGGTGAGTTGTGGAATATAACTTTTACCTCAGACTTTTTATGCTACTTATTAATTCTGTCTTGCACTGGTTTTCTTTTTCATTGAATAGTCTTGTTGGCATGAAACACTTCTTACTTTTTACAGGAAAGTTTACCAGATTTCAGAGCCATAAGTAGTAATGGAATGGCATAGATACAAAAGTGAGTGAGGCACTCTGAAAGGACTAACTGAAATAAGATAACCCCAGAGTGGAATTGCCTCACTGTAAACTTGGTTGCACATTATCAACCAACCAAACAATGAAGGTGCTAATGGTTCTTGGTGTCTGTGTAAAATCTGGTGTTGGTCATCTTCCTTTCCAAGTGCTAACTAATGGTTCTTATCAGCATCTTGTACCTATTTAGTTTTTGAGATGCTACTAGACCAATGGTCTCCAACCTTTTTACACCCAAGATTACTTTTTAAATCTTAGAACAGGGGAAGATCTACCACCTCGCCCCTTCCTTGAAGCCTCGCCCCTTCCTTGAAGCCCCGCCCTCTCTATTCTCCTCCTGTCCATCACTTGCTATCCCCAGTCCTTACTTACATACTCTGATAAACAGTTTATTTTTAAATTATGCGATACATACAATTAAAATCACATGTTTATAGTTATGAAATAAATGTTTTTTTTATTCATGCTATTTAAATCTAAAATGAAGCATTTATAATTATACATTTTGTGGGGACAGAGTTCTGCGGCTGGGGGCAGAGGAGAGGGAACAGGGTGCTGGGGGGGCAGAGGACAGGGTTCTGCAGCAGGGGACAGGGGAGTGGGGACAGTTAGGGGAGTGGGGACAGCGTTCTGTAGCTGGGGACAGAGTTCTGTGGCTGGGGACAAGAGAGTGGGGTCAGCGTTCTGTGGGTGGGGAGTGGGGTGCCAGTGGAGGCAGAGAATCCCCTGCATCTCCCTCCTCCCAGGATTTTCCCCTCCCCAGGGAAATCAGCGCGCGCCTGCCCAGGAGGCCAACTCCCTGGTGCAGGGAAACCCGGCACCAACACCCCCCCCACACAGGGAAGCCCCGCGCGCGTGGCTGCCCCGGGGCTAACCCCCTGTGCGCCTCCCGCGGGGCTGACTCACCCCTCTTGTGCAGTGTAGGGAGCTGCTGCTCCCTCCCGCAGTACACCCGGCAGAGCAGCTAGCACACTTCTGGAATTGCCGGAAGTGGCGCTAAGCTGCAGGACTTCTGTCCATCCCCGGGAAGCAGACACTACCTCCGTTTTTTCACTTGAGGTAAGTAGTGGGGCTTCTCAGGGTGGGAGGGAAATGGGGACGGGGCAGACAGGACGCCTCGCGAGCTACTGGTCGAGGCCTCGCGATCGACCAGTAAATTGCGATCGACCTGTTGGTGACCACGGTACTAGACTAACAGTTGTTTTTAAAGTCTTTCCTGTTACAGACTTACTCTGCTATCCCTCTGAAGCTTATCTACTCACTGTCCTTTTTTTTTTCTTCTTCCTCCCCTTCAATTTTTTTTCCTTTGCCTCCCTTCTCTTATTTATTCAAAATTTCTTGATAGCTTTCGCAGAAGGGACAATTTACAGTTAGGGTGTTAACTGGATAGCTTGTCTTCATCACAAAAAGGAAAGGATTTATAGGACAATGTTCATGAACTTTTTGAGGGAAGTTGGCATCTTGCCCTTTTAGTCAGCAGGGGATCAAATTGGTTCCCTTCCAAACCAGGATAAAAACAATTTTTTCCGAACATTGTTGAGTATGAATCCAATTTGTAGGTAGTAGGTTGGAGCGTCTCAGTAGTTCTGGAACTTCAGATTCTTCCACAAACTCATTGTTGCTTTCTTCTTTTTGATATGTCTCTACTTCACTAGATAAACGTTAAAGATATGTTTAAACAAATCTTAGTTCATTTCAAGTTTAATTTTGTTTAAGAGCATTGATGTAATGCCATTTTAATTTTATGTATCCAGACAAAGTTGAACTCAATTTTTTTTCTATTTTGTTCTGTTCTTGTTTTAAAACACTTGTAGACTTTTGAATTGAGCACCAGATTAAATGCATAAATGCAGTACCTTATTTTTAAGTCTATGAATTCATGGAGTCCCAACAAATGTATCCCCATATAATATAATGGTATCACAAATAGCACAGAATCCTGCAGAATCATGAAAACCACCTACAGGAGTCATTTAATAGAAATAAAGTGAGGGTTTTATATGTACAATGTGAGGTAGTTTGGAAAAATTCGTAATTAAAATTTGGTAAAATGCTCTCAGATTTTCAAATATTTCTGGTTATTTCCCTTTCCCACATTACAGACCATCTCTATGCTTCAGCATGATTTTGTAGTGGTTATTTTGTTATCAGCATCATACAAGTGAAGAAATGATACTTGAGAGAGATAGGGTTCAGTCCTCCATCACAGATTTTAAGTGATTTGGCCAAATCAAACTTGAATCTCTGAATTCTTATGTAAATCAGGGATAATACTTCTCCACCTCACAGAAGTTTCAAATAAATCGAGGTAGTCTGCTATTAGTGTTGGGGGTGATGAGTATGTAGACAGAACGTGCTGATGCTTATATGTTTGACTTTGAAACTTAGTGAAGCCAGTTTTTCAGGTGGAGCAATACAAGTAGGTTTTTTTTTTTTTTTTTAATATGCAGCATGTCTAGAAAAGCTTTTCTGCAACATATATAGCAGATGTGGAGAGAGATTCTTTTTGCAGAGGAGAACTGGATAAAACTATTAGCTCAAGGAAAATGTTAGCTTATTTCTTCTTTTGGTCTGGTTGTATGTTTCTGAAACATTCTCAGTGAGGGAAGTAAGATACGGGTACCAAATTCTAATATAGAAGGCATTGTCACTAGACCAATGGTCCCCAACCATTTGGGGATGCCGGGCGCCCGGGGGGCGGGGGCCCCCCCGAGCGGGGGCCCCCCCGAGCAGGGCCCCCCCCATAGCCACATTCCCGGGGCCGGCGCTGGCGCTCT